AAGGTCTCGGCCACATATATATATATGTATATAAACAGATGACATGTCACGCATGATGTACTATATACTGCTTCTGTACATATGTGTATAATACCTTTTCTGAGTGTGTGTGGGTGTGTCTCTGTGCGCAAGTGTTTCTACGCAGGCGAAGCTCAATTGTAAATAAATCCTAAACCCCAAACCCCCTCAACCCTAAACCCCAAACCCTAACCCTGATTGAAGATTCGGGGGTCGGTTTCCGTCTTGCGGCGTGAAGTACTCCGGTAATCTTAACGATCTCCAAAAACATCTTTTTTCAGCTTTAACCTGAAACCCCTCTTAAAAGCCTTCAAACCCTAAAGCAACCTAACCCCAGTCAAACCAAAGCCTTAGGGCCCAGGCCTTAGGCCTTTGTTGCAGCCTTTGTGTCCTAAGCCCATCTGGGGGTGTCCGACAAAAAATATAGTACCCTAAATAGTAGGATCCTTATTATAAGGACCCCAAAATAAGGCGCCCCTTATTTTCGGAAACTCCCATCTGCATCTCTGGGCCAGATGCAGAAAGTGGCGACCCGGAAGCAAAGGGAAGCAAAAGGCAGCCGCTTTGGGGTTTGGGATTTAGGGTTTAGGGTTTAGGGGTTTAGGGTTTGGGGGTTCAGAGCTGACGGGCTATTCAGAGTCCTGGGTGTTATGCGAAAGCTGTCCTAAAATTCCCATAGCTTAGAGTGATGCAGCTTGCCCCGGTGTCACACGATTTTTTTTGCAGGATCCCCTTATGTACAGGACGCCTCACAGAACTTCTTCATTTGATAGTGATCTTTTACCTTCAAAGACCCCAAGGTCCCTGCCTGATTCCTGTAGGTAGATCCCCATTGCGAGCAGCAATTCATAATTATAGTATAGCGGGCCCCAACACCCTATTCTAACTATGAAGGCCCCTATATTACCCAAAGCCCGCAACCCAAAGTCTGCATCCCTAATGAAGCCCCTGAGCCTCACTAATCTAAAACAACTCCAAACTCCAAACCCTTCACTTCAAGGTTCAATGATTCAAAACGTCGAAAGGATGGTATATACTCACCGAAGTGCTAGCCTACAGTTACTCAGGGTCCCACTCCGAAAGTACCCAGATCTTCTGCAGGCGAAGCAGTGCTTGCAACGCGGCTGGCAGCGGCATCGGGCTCAGGGACCCGAGTGAAAGGTCTTTCAGCGAGTTCTCTTCCTTGCCCCTCCTCCGCCCCTGCACGCCACATCATGAATAGAGCCGCAGCTTCAATAACAGGAGACCTTAACCCTAAAGCCTAAGGAGCTCCGGGCTCAAGAACTGGAGCCCTGAAGCCACTTTAAAGTGGCATCTTGCTTGAGATTTCAGGTCAAAGGCCTTTTGGGGACACGTCTGGCCACGTGGATGACTCCCTGGCATCCCGCAACGGGATGCACCCTGACGATTTTCTGAAACTCCCCAAATATTCTTGATTCCATCTGAGCTCCTTTATGGAAAGTTCTTATCAGCGAGAACGATTACGCAAGCAGCTTTTCTGCAGACACTGACATGCAGGTGTAGTAACTCTATGTAAATTGCCCACCTTTTTAACTATGATCGTGCCTTATAAAGCCCGTATAATTAGTACCCTTGTGGTACCCCTACAGAACCCTGATAGATAGTGCTCTTATGGTGCCCTTGTAGACGGTTTATAGAGCCCGAAAAAGTACCCTAAACCCTAAACCGGCTTGTCCGAGTGCGCGTGCTGAAGCCTTAAACCCTTACAACTGAGGTTGTGGCTGATGCTTGCATTTACTCTGTGTTTCACATCAATCAGACCTCGAACCACATGCCTCGCCTGGAATGTCCGAGTGTGAGCGCCGGAAGCCTTATAACAAGGCTGTTAATTAATATAGGGGCCTTTCAATTGTGGGGGTTTCGTATTATGACTGTAGTATACTGGGCCCCAAAACCCTGTTCTAATAATATTAAGGCGGCCCCTATATTAATGCATGTCGGAGCCCATGGCAACCTGAGCAACGAGCGAGAAACCCCTAAACCCTAAACCAAAAACCCTATTAACTATTAAATCCTAAACCCTAAACCCTAGTAAACTTCTAAAGTCAGGGTCACCCTTATAACTGCCCTAAACCTAGACCCTAAACCCTAAACCTTAAAATCCTAAACCCTAAACCCTAAAACCCTAAACCCTAAGCCCTAAAAACCCTAAACCCTTATAACTGCCCTCCGAGGTCGGCTACGAAGGCCAGGCCAAATCCGAAGCTCTACGCCTGGCCCACCAGCAGCGCGCCCCTGGGCTGATACCAGGAGAATAACTTGGGGTTTAGGGTTTAGGGTTTAGGGTTACTACTATAGTAATAGCACTAGTGCTAATACATTACGAGCCCAATAACAACAAGAATGCTGATAAGAACGCTTACTGTTGTTCTTCTGGTGCTTGTGATTAAGCAAGCCATCCCATGCTAGGATTAAGTCCTGCAGGGCTTACGGTATAGGGTTTAGGGTGATGTAACTGTGCACGGTTTTGGGCTTAGGGTTGAAGGTCAAGGGTTCATAGGGTTGAAGGTTTATTTAGGGTTTATAGGGTTTAGGGGACTTGGCCGGGCGAGCTCCAGTCAAGCCTGTGGAAGAAGGGTTTAGGGTTGAGGGTGTCGGGTTCAGGGTGGGCAGATACCACTGCTAACGGACAGCATCCTCTATTTTCCTGGCACGATCGATGCCATCGAGATAAAGCCTGATGTATACCGGTATTAGGCAATGCTGGAGTTGGCCCGTCACAAGAAAGAGCAGGAGTGGCAACGACTTGGGATATGCATTTTAGCATCGCCATAAATCGCGATAGCAAACACAGGCCACCTGCCATTCAGTAGTAGTGATGATTAGAATACCTATGTTGTCCCTAAGCCCTACACCCTCAGCCAGCCCTGCAGCGCTGACTACTACTGGCATGGTGGCTGCTTGGGGGAATCCTCGAGCACGGAGTGGAACACGCAGCTCCCCGATCCTCGTAGCGAGGGTTCTGAAAGAAATTGCTAGTCTGCTTTCCCCATGGTATAGAATCAGATGGCATACGGAGTTTCAGCAACAGGTACAAGTAAAACAGATGGTGCTGTTGCCGCTCGTCAGGTTTCGGCGCTTTGGGAACACTGATTACATTCGGAGTCGTCGTTATCGCCGTAGTAGGAGCACTACAAGAGTAGCAGTAGGAGCAGCAACAGCAGCATCAGCCATTGTCGTAGTCGCGGAGTGTGGAGGTTGAACTCTATACGGCAGCAGTCCCTAAACCGACAGGCCGAACTTGTTCAAACTATGCGTTAGGTCTGTCGTCACTTCTGAAGATTCACAGTTTTTCTGGCGTCCAGCGGCTTCCATATTCGCTTTGTGGCATATAAAACGCCGAGAGTCTCCAGGACTTGATGTTGGATATCCGGACCTTGGTCATGAAGGCTGCAAGCTCAAGACTTCGTAAACCCTACAAGGCCTTTCAAGAAGACTCCTACCGGGTCCTATCGGAAAGCCAGCTTTCCGCTCAGGCCTCGCGCCTCGTCACAGAGAAGCTCCTTAGCTGCCGAAGGTTAATAGAAAGGTTCTGTATGCGCTATGGGTTTTCATACCGTAAACCCTAAGCTAAACTAAAGCCATATAGGGTCAAGGACTTTGGGTTTTCCGGTCTGGGGGTTCAGGGCTTTCCGGAGGGTTTAGGTATGAAACAGGGCTTTCATGCGAATTGCACCAGCCGAGCCGGCACACAGCACGTCCGCTGGGCTCAGGCCCTCAGGGTGTCCAGGACCCGAAATCAATGTTACAAGTCCGAGCCCCCTTACATGCGAGGCCTTAAGAGCAGAACCCCAAGCGTTTGAACAGGCAGCAACAAAGCCGCCTGGCCCTACACTCTAATTAACTGCAAGCGTCCACTGCTGCACCTGTGCATCCTAGAAAATCAGATTAGAGTCTCCGCACCGGCAACTCGCCCGAAACCCCTACTGTACACCTCCTAAACCCTTCATGCACCCTACAGCAAGCCCTGCACCGCAAGGAGAACCTTCAAATCTAAGCCCAAAACCCCCAAACCATATGTGACAAACTCCCAGGAACGAGCGCTTGGCCGAGGATGTTGCGACTCGCCGCGCAATGCGCGAGGAACCCCTCTTGTTGGGGGTTTTGTGTTCTCGGCTTTACTTCAGCGGTGAAGTAGGGCTTTTTCACGTGCTTAATTTTAATGCATGGGGTTTGGGCCTGAGCCAGACGGCTTCGTTGGTCTATCTAAGCTCCGGGGTAAGGATTCGGCGCGTTCGAGTTGAATGGTTCACGCCTCATCTAAAAGCTTTCCCCATGGTGTCTCAGCTTTGGGTGACCCGCCTTCTATATAAGCGACCAAACACCGAAACTCTCAACGCATCTCCTGTCAAGGGTACCGGTATGCTAGCAGCAGCTTCAAAGCACCCCGCTCCCTTTAGTCTCATCACCACTGTCACGAACAGCCTTGTCGTCCCCCGCCACCATCACCATCACTTTCATGATTCTCGGAACGACACGCGCAAGCAATTACATTACCCGTCAAAATACGTAGCAGGTAGTTGCAGCCATTGGTCTATGGCTTATCCTGCTCGTGATAACTCCCTAATCCCTGCACCCAAATCGCAAGATCATGATGCTTCGTCTTGTGGCATCCACTCGTAGACTTATCATCTTATACCCTCATCCCGATTGGCAGCAAAGGAACCTTGAGGGGAACCGAAGCCTCTTACGTTTTGTCAAGCTCCAGCTCCAGGAGCGAGCAGCAGCGGCTGCAAGCAGACGATGCCTCTCCGAGGCCTGTGTGGGGAGGGGAGGGGAAGGGTGTAGTGGAGAAAATTGGTTTGAAACGACCACAATCCTCTCTGTGGGCACTTCTATGTTGCGATACCGATATGTTCCGGGCTTTTCGAGGCAGGGTATCGGCCTTCTTGATCTGATAGTGAGAAGGGTGCCCCTCCGCTGATGCAGTTCTAACATTGTGGGACCTTTGAGATCCGAGCAGCCAAGCCCAAAGCTCAGAAGCATTTTAGGATTTGGGATTCAGGCAGTATCGCTTGAAGCACTTTACACCCTGCAATAACGTAAGCATCCGGCCAGGCTCGTGCACGATTTGTGCGGCGTTGGCCGCAACCTGAAGAGGCCGCCGCGCAGAGGATTCGGTCCTTACTTTGCGGGCCTACGGGCCTAGGGGGTCCGCTTCAGCTTTGAGGGAGCAGCTTTCTCTGGATTTGTTTTAAGTTTACCAGGCTCCCAGGCTCCCCTGTTGCGAGTTCCGGATTAAAGTCTTAGAGGTTACAGGCACACTGCTATGCCAATGTCAAGGAGGAGCTCGTCTTTGGGTAGCGGCCAACTTGGGACAGTTGCGGCGCTGTCTTCCGATCCTGCTTTAGAGTTGCATGCGCTGTTGAGCCGTCAGTTCTAGAGAGGTCGTTTAGGGTTCAGGGTTTAGGTCCTAGGTCTCCTAACGTGACTGAGGAAGGCTCCCTCGAGCTTCGCTGCCGGCATACACTGCAAGCCCGTGCTTAAAAAAGGGCTTAGGTCCTTTCCAGCCACCGCGATAATGCCGGTTTGGTTGTTCACGCTTGGTATATGTTAGAATCCTACTTAGTGACTTGGTGTCCTGCAACATGCTGCAAACGCGGTATCATCAAACGACGGTGGTGGCACATCAGCCCATGAACGGTGCAGCTCGTTTGGCCTCGCTTCCGTTGCAGACAGGTTTAGGAAAATGCGAAATCAAACCCAACCACAGGCGCTCGACTCAACCCCGTCCTCCTTGCCAAGCCTGCTGGCCGACGATCCGGCTTTGGCCTTTGGTGTTCATGATGTCTAGGGTTGCATTGAAGGGCTTGAGGTCGGATTTCAGGCTGTTCGATGTGTCTTGGGGGTCAGATTCCTATGCAGCTTTTTTCAGTGGATGCTTTTGTGGTCCACGTTTGCCGTTGGCCACACTGCCTTCAGCCACGCGTTGGGCAGATCTTGTCACCTGCACTCGCATTACATCCCGGGCATGAGGGTAACCATCTACCTTGACTTCAGGTTATCACTTCAAGTGTTGTGCTCTAGTGCATGTGATCTTGCTTTGTTTGATGTCCTTTTCCGCACAGCAAACAGCAAGCAGCCACTAAACCCTAAACCCTAAACCCAAACCCCCAAAGAACCCGAGCTTCCTATATGCCGAGGTCGTTCGGCGGGCGAAGGCGCTTTGTAGCGGAGCTGCGCAGGTCGGTCGCTTCGGAGTTCCATGGCCGGGCGTCTACTTAGGAGGGTTTCTATGTGGGGATTTCCGAAAATAGGGGTACCTTATTCTGGGGTCCTTATAATAAGGATCCTACTATTTAGGGTACTATATTAGGGTCCCCTATTTTCGGTAACCCCTTGTAGGAGTATCGGCTCTGATGCACAGACGAGAGCATTGCGAAAATAATCTGGCATACGGCATACGCATCGCCACCAACCGGCCTTCACCTGGCCCCAGGGTGCACAAGAGATTGGGCAAGTCTCCCAGGGTTGTTTGGGGAGTGTGGGCTTGGAGAGCTATTGTATGAGATTCTGAAGTTCGGCAAGAGGTTGATATGAAGCTTCCGCGGTGTGTGGTACTTTATGGCATGTGGTTAAGGACAGGTTATAGGCCTCAAAAGCTTAAGATACCAACTAATACAGGCTTGAAGTACTCTATAGGGCTTGGGCTTCGAGGTCTTTGGTGCATAAGCGGGCCCCGAATTTACTTCTAGGGAATGTTGTGAACCGTTGAACCGGAACCTGGAGTAGGTCTAGTTAGGGTTTAGGGTTTAGGGTTTAGGGGCTGTAGCTTCTAAGGCATTCAAAGGCCATATCCTAGATCTGCAGCCCTATGCTCCCGAACCCTATACACTCGGACCTCCTTGAAGGATCGGTGGACTTAGGTTGTTACCTCATTCGGTTCATAGAGTTATAGTCAGCATGGTCCCAGTTAGGACCCCATTTAGTATTTAGCGCACATTTCACTCCGCTCGTTCACCACCTTCTATATGCCCCGACCCGCCAAATAAGCCGAAGATTTCAGGGATGAGGATCAGGCTCCGTTTGCGGGCCAGGGCCGATCCGATGCAGCCGCCACCCCGGCAGTTGCACCCCTTCGGCCGTTGAGGTTTAGAGTTCAGCGAGGTTTAGGGTTTAGGTTTTAGCGATGTGCTACGAGGGACATTGGCCGGGCGAGCTCCAATCAAGCCTGTGCATTGAGCCCCAAGAGTGCTAATTGATGTAGTTGCTCGACACACTTAAGGCTGAGAGATGCGCAAAACGTTTTCCGAGCAGGTTTTGATATTTTTACTATTAGAGATGAGATACCTTCCAATACTTGACCACGCGGGGGCATCCGAGCGCGTTGTAAATGCTGTAGGTTCGGAGATCTAGCAGTTTTGCTCTCTAACATGTCTGTTAGACTTTGCCACTTCACAGTTTTGGGCAGTTTGTTGTTGTGGATCGTGGTTTTTGGGTCAGCACTTGATTGTCCGAAGTGCAGATACCAAGGTAGTGAGGGATGCGAGGCTTTTCCGGAGATGCTATGGTTATACAGATTTCTATCACTTTTTCCTTCTTGGATACTTTTGGGTTGTGCCAGGCAGTCGCCCAGCTTGAGGACCGGTTGGGAAGGGTTTCAAAAGCTTGCAGAGTTGGAGTTTCAGGCGTGTTTTGTGAGCACTACCGCAACCTCCGACGTAATACGCTTTCCTGGTTTAGAGCCCAGAGCTCGAAGAAGAAGTTGGGGTTTCTTCTTGAGCCTGCCAGATCTGTCAGCGATCTGCCTCTGAAGATGACTAAAAGAAATCCGACGCTTAGCACTGCGCTCCGATCATCCCGGAACGATTCAATACCCCAAAAGCTGAGCAGACTGGGAAGTTGCGAACAGTGCTTATCCTTATATTGGACACGTGCCCTTCTGTCTACACACGTAATTCAAACCCGACCCCTGAACCCGAAACCTTAAGCCCCTAAACACTAAACGCCCTAAACCTCTGATCCCGAAGCCCAAAACCCTAAACCCCCAGGCCCTTAACCCTAAGCGCACATGTCGAGGAGCAGAACCAGCTGCTCAGAGCGAAGCCCACGCTGCAGGTCATTAGGCACCTGACCGAATCAGGGCTGAAGTTCGGGCACGGTAAAGGAACCTACCTGGAGGCCCAGGGAACTTAGTAAGTCGGTTATAAGTAGGGTTATAATTCGGGCAACTCCACTTAGGGTACTTATAACTCTACTTATAACCTACTTACTAAGTCCCCTGGGCCTCCAAGTAGGGTTTAGGTTTTGGGGTTCAGGGTGTAGAGTTTCAGAATGGTTCCTGTCAGGGACAGGTCCCAAACCCCACATTCAAGTATGGTACTCCGAACCCAGGGGATACTAACCCCCCTTGTGCCCTATATAGCCCTACAGAGTACTCGCAGAGTTTAGTGTCTCAGCTCCTAAGGATGACGTGTTTGGACAGCTCGTGCTTGCTTGCTGGCTGCTAGGGGCTTTGGGTTTAGGGTAGTGCAGGATGATTTGCAGAGTCTGGGTTCACCAAGGGGGTTTAGGGTTTAGGGTTTAGTAGGAGCTTGCAAGCCTGCAGCAAAAGGGTTTAGTAGGACTTTCAAAAGCTTCAGTTTCAGGAATCAATAAAGTCCAGTGTGGGGTTTGCGGTTTACGGTTCAAGTCTTGCCGAAGTCCCCACGTCGTCCTACACCTTCGAGCCTCTGGACTACTAGGTCAGACGGCAGGTCCCTGATGCCCGAACCATTCGTGAATCTTAATGCTGCCAGCCCCAAACCCCGAATCAGACATACCAAGCCACCCTGAGCCCCACAAGGCAAATGTTGATCCCAACCCTGAACATACACCGTGAAACTGCACCTCAAACCATCAATCCTGACATCTTGAAGCCCTCAATCCCCCAAACCGGCGTTAAACCCTCAACCCCTATATAAACCCCTACGCATGAAAGTCATGCGAACCCTTTAAGCCCCGCAAAGCCATCACTAGCTGATTACTTTAACTGAAACCGTTCAAGCACCGACAACCTGACCTCTACAGTCACAGCCCGAAAACGGCATGGCACGAAAGCAAATCTGTGGCCCGCTAAGAGGCCGTTGACTAACCCCCCCCCCCAAAACTAAAAGTACAAAAAAGAACATCGCCTTCGAACAATTAAAAGCAGCAAACTCCCCTAAACCCTAAACCCCGAAGCCTGTACTCCGTAGCTCGCCGAGAGGCCCGAGCCCAAAGAGCCCAAAATCCCTTCGCGGGGGCCCACGCCGATGCCCAGCAACGAGGCGATGGTCTTGGGGTTGATGCTTGGGTTGAGGGTTTCGGGCTCCGGGTTTAGTGAGTTTAGTGGTATTAGGAGTGTTTGAGTTTGGGCGTTTAACTTGTTAGATAAACGGGTCTATGGCCCCAGCGTTAGATACGTCGGAGTGTTCCAACAGTTCCAAGAGCATTGATGGTATTGTTGTGTGTACTGTTTTGCGGCCAACCTCTCAACTCAACTCCCTTGCTCGCCCCGGAATCAGACAGATAGTCAGTCGTCTTGAAATGGTGTCAAAAGTCCATGTGTTCATGTCCCCAGATAGAACTTTTTTCTGCAGATACTGCTTCACCGAGTTCCATCAAAACGGCTATAAGATATTCAGACATGTTTTTTTGGTCCTGGCAGGAGCTCATTGCGAAGGCAAAGGAGCTCCTGGCAGATTACAAGCCTTGTCCTCAGTCATAAAGGGTTTGGGTTTAGGGCTCAGGGTTTAGGCGACGGCAGTTCCGGGCGAGAGGAGCCTGCTGCAAAAAGGGTTTAGGATTTAGGGTTCAGGGGGCCTTTTTTCAGGGATGCTTGTAGTACTCGTCAGAACGTGCGCGCATCTTGCAAAGCTGAAAGCGAGCATTCTGCGCTAGTGCGTCAGAGGGTTCAGGGGTTGGGATTTAGGGTAGTTGCAAGCCAGTTGCAAAAAGGGTTTCGGGTAGAGGTTGTGGCGAGGGTCAAGGTTCTTGAGCCCGAAACCTGAACTTCTCCAATTGTCCTTAGCAGCCATCCGAAACATGTAGTAGAAGGTACCAGTGCCAAAAGGACTAAAAGCGGGAGATCGTTGCAAGTTTTCAATACCAGCAAGCAGGTTGAGGGGTCGGCGTCGAGTGTTCATCGGACCACCAATGAGTCGTCAACTGTGGGGGTGGTTGTGAGCTGGAGCCCCATGCACACAGTTCCCGGAGGCAACAGTCAAGACCGTAACAGAAAGTTATTATAGTGGCCTTAATAATCATTATGCTATATCTATGATAAGGAACCCCCAAAACCCTATTCTAATAATTCAGGCCCCCACATTGCCTTTAAGGGAGCCTGCTCCTGAATGCAGCCTTCTGAGGCCAGAGAAACTTCGGCCCCTTGGCGACGAGACTCCGGGTTTCATCGGTAGCCGGGGAAAACCCTAAACCCCTAAACCCTAAACCCCTAAACCCCAAACCCGTATTGGCCGAAGCTTCTGCAAAAAGGGTGACACTAGACTTAAAAAAAAAACAACCCTAAAACCTAAACCCTAAACCCCTAAACCCCAAACCCGTATTGGCCGAAGCTTCTGCAAAAAGGGTGACACTAGACTTAAAAAAAACAACAACCCTAAAACCTCAACCCTAAACCCCTAAACCCAAAACCTTAAACTTTGATACGACATGTAGGACATGGGGCTTCGGGCCTTAGGCTTTCCTCTGCATCTTGCTTGAGCCTCCCAAAGTGAGCTATTCCGCTTTCGGGTTTGAGGGAAGGGGGTCAGACAAAGCCTTTCTGTCACGGTTTCGGTCCTCCTTCTTGGCTCGGGAACGCACCTGGGGAATCATTAGTTAGTTGAGCATCGATCAGCTCCAAGTTACTTCGAGACTGCACTTGTGGTTTAACGAATTTGGAGTTTGAAGAACAAGTGTAGGGTGTTAGGACGACTTTAGGAACTTAGTTTGTAGGACTCGAACGTGCGTGCAAGTCATGGGTGGTCCCGTAGCTTCAACAAAGTGTCTGGCAGGTAGGTTATACTGGCGGCTTCACGGCTCCCCTTAAGCTCGTTATAAGGGTTTAGAGATTTATTAATATGGTTTAAGGTGTTGGGGTTTACAGATTTCAGTGACTCTTGCTAGTCCACATCCGTCACTCACAATATGGCACATGTGCAGATACATGAAATTCATTTGAACCGAAGCTATACCAGGGATGGCACCGTCTCGGAACACTTGCACCATGTGCCTGAGCCCTGAGCCTCGAACTTCGGCATGCAGTCCGGAGTACTCGAACCCTCACGACCGAACTCCCGAGACCGTAAACATTGAACTCACGGGGCACATGCTAGACGTGAAGCATTCCCCCACATCCGCACACATTGATCCATGAATCAGTCGAAACAGGCTTTACACTAGTAGTCAGAATATGGTCTAGGGGTCTGTTGCACTATGTGTATATAAACCCTAGGCCCTTAAACCCTAAACCCCTAAACCCTAAACCCCTAAGCCCCTCAAGCCCTAAACATCCCTAAACCCTAAACCCTAAAGGTGTTGGGTTTGGGGGAAGTTCTGAGGCAGCCGGCTTCGGGCCGAACTTCTTCGGCTCGGACTACTGCAGCCTCAGCGGAGCGAACCGATGTTAGCGGGTTTGTCCTCGGGGTCTACAGGGTTTAAGGACTGTAGTGGTTAGGGATTTTCTGGGTGTAGGAGTTCAGGCTCAGGGATGTAGGATTTATTGGTGTGAGGGTTTAAGATTTCAGGCCAAGGGGTGATAGGATGAAGGAGATCTGGGACCTACAGGGTTTCGGTGTTTGGTTTTAGATGTTTAGGGCTTGTGTTTTCAGGGGTTCTATGCAGGCGGGCAAGGGAGGGAATCGGGCTTTAGGGATTGTGGGCTACCGATGCTTGCTTGATTGTTTTCGGGCTATGGTGTGTGGCAGGGGTTCGTCAGGGTTTGGGACTACTTGTTCAAACAAGAGTTTGTTGGAGTTGCCCACCTATCCACAACTGTATGTTTGCGATGTTTGTCTTCGTGTAGGCCATGTAAACTCAAAGAGCGCTGGCAACTAAATCTTGCACCCCACAGACCCCACGCCCTAAGCCCGAAACTACCATCTATATTGCTGTTGGGATCGTTAGTTTCTCAAGCAGTGTTCTTCCCATGGTCTTCCGCATGGTCGTTTGTCGTCTAGGGAGTCCGGAGAGTCGCGTTTCAGACCTTAAGCCTTCAAAACCAGGCAACCTAAAGCCTAAGCCATACGCACTCGGCCCCACCAAGTCGAGAAGGAGGAGCTTCTCCAATTGCGCGGACCCTGTACTTGGAATCCTCGCTGTGTTATAATGACTTGGTCAAGATAAGTGGAGATGTAAGTATGTTAACAAGTGGTTGTAAGTGCATGTTAAGTCTATGTTAAGTATATATTAAGTATCTATAAGTGTGGTTAAAAGATGAAGTATATTAAGTCATGTTATTTCTAAAGTCGACGAAATTAGCTAAGTCAAGCTATCTCAGCTAACTCGTTATATTTTGTTTTATTTTTTTTAGTTGATGTTAACATAATGTTTTTCTCCATATATGTAGGCATGAGTTTTCATACAACTGTTCTGGTTTTCCGGACGAGTAAACATGCCTTTGTGGCCAGCAGGAAACCTTTTCGGAAGGAAATATATATCAATGCCTGGCAAATATTTATTAAAAAAATTCACATGGAATCTAGCCATGTTTCTTTCAAATGGCAATGCCGCTTTGGCCATTCTAAGTTTCGAGGGCTGCCGAAACCCCAGTGAAGCCAGTAAGTTTCTGAACAAGAAAGCATGTTTGCTAGCAAGGCCAAGATAGACATGTTGTTGGATGTTTATATTTCAACGAGGTTGCCCAAGCTCCCCCAGCGATCCAGTGCACACCACTCTGCTTCAGCCATGGTGACGATTGGCCAGCAGGTGATCTTGAAGTACAACCAAGAGCCAGCAGTTACCATCCCAGACTATCTGCTGGTGGATGGCCCAGACGACCACAAATATTTGAGAATGCGACCCTCCAGCCTCCCCATTGTCCAGCTGCTCACGGGGTCCAAGCATCCACACAAGTGTTCCCTCACATACTACGAGCCATTCACGAAGCTCATCCAGCTTCGCAACGAGCAAATGGATCGATGTGCCATGGCGGACGAAGAGGAAAACCAAGGCGACCAGCTCTTCGACTCCAAGCCAATTCGCAGAACCAGTTCCCGCAAGAAGATCCAGAACCTGCCAAACTTCGTGAATATCCACGTTGGCAACACAGTGGTGCCAGTTCTCGTCCAGGGAGACTTGCAACGACCCAAGGCTTCGGACTTCATGGTGAAGCTGGATGCCAACCTTCTCACCACGATCATAGACCATGTTCGTGCCAATATCGACGAGCTGGAAAGCTGGCGGCAGACAGAAAGGCCCAAGAAGAGGGCCAAGGCCAAGGCCAGCAAGTAGCCACCAGACAACTGCAGCTGCCACCGCGGGGGTGTGAAAAAAAGAAGTTGAGGGATCGCGACTCTTTGTTGCTGCAAGTGTTTTGTTGAGTCCGAATTGCTGTTCTATAGACCATGCATGTGTTCTATAGCCTTGGGCCCCACAGTGCCGACCAGCTGTCTCCTGCGACCTTTGCCACGTTCGCCATGGCTGGAGTGCCAGACAAGGTTGTCCAGGAAGTGGAAGCTTGCATGAGCTCCACTGCCCCCATCAACAGCAAAGTAGACTCCAATATATATATATATATATATATTTGGAAACAAATAAACAAAGGAATAAATCAATAAATAAATGAATAAAAAAATAAAAAAGTATAGTATATATATATATACACACACATACTTTTTGTATATTCAGAGATTATCAATGGACGCATAAATATACATATATATAAGATATATATATATATATATAAGAAAAATAGATGTATATTCAATGATTTGCCAGGATGGCCAGCACATGCAGCATGCACCATTGAATCCGCACAAGCCATGGTGGCCAGCCAGAGATAAAACCCAGTAGCTGCCACCAAGCCCCAAGCCCAACAACATTCGCCCTATAGGTATGCAAGCCCCAAGCTACCATTTTGCCCAAAGCCATAAGCAATCCAAGCAACAAGCTCCAAGTTAGCCAGAACAGGTAACACTAGTTTCCACAGTGCCTTGCAGTATCCACAGAGAAGTTTTCCACACAGAAGTTTTCCGGAACCAAACCCACCAAGTAGCTTTGTGAGACTTGCCAGGAGCTGTTCTATCAGTGTTTTCGAATGCATATCTGACCAGCCTTGGAATCCATATTGTCTGGCCGTCGCTCGCCTCATCCAGCAGCTGGGGAGGTAATCCCAACACGAATGATCACGTGGCAGGCCCAGGTGTTGATAGCTACCATCAGCATCAGCACCAAGCATCACGAATATGTACATTTGCAGATAGGATTGCACTGCAAATCTCGGTCAAAGGGCTTTACACTTAGGTTTATTATTCAATCCTAAGTACAATGATTTTTCACTTAGGTTCATTTTTCAATCCTAAGTGCCAAATATTTGCACTTAGGTTTATTTTTCAAACCTAAGTGCCAAATATTTGCACTTAGGATTGAAAAATAAACCTAAGTGCAAATATGTGGCACTTAGGATTGAAAAATGAACCTAAGTTTTAATGGTCTTGTAGGACAAGCCACAAGACCAAGGGTAGGACTTCCTGGATTTTGCCAGGTCGGAGCCATGGAAGACGACCGTGCAGCCATGGCACCAACCTCTCCAGACAGCGAAAGCCATGAGTCAGTGGCCACAATTTTGCCAGAGGAGGATGGGCCTCCAAAGGCCAAGCCCAGACGGGAGCCTGCAAGGCAGCAGACCACAAGACCATCGTTTCCATGGCCTTGTCCATCTGGCTGGTCGCCGCCATCGGGTGTGGGACTGCCACCCATGATTATGAGCATGGCACCAATGGGTGGGTATTTGCCACCGCCTGCCACGATGGCACCATCTTGGCAAGTTGTGCCTCCAATGCTGCCTTCCGTGCCAAGGGGGCCACTGGGGCCTTTGGGGCCACTTGGGCCTGTGGGGCCACTGGGTTTGCCTTTGGAGTCGCTGGGACCCGGCACCATGCAGCCGCTCCGGGCCACCCACCCGCCAACAGTGTTTCCAAACCTACCCATCCCAGAGTTTCCACCACGAGCACCCCAGCCACGAGGACCACGACCAAGCACGAGGCCAGCGCGACCCAACCAAGAACCACCACAGTCGGGCCGAGCGGAACCAGCGCCACCCCTAACAGCGCCCAACCCAGAAGAACCATTGCCAGAAATTTTCCAGCCAAGCCTCGGACTTGCTGGGAATCTTTCCAGTGCTGCGGCATTTTCTCTACACCATCGTGTTGCCAGCTGGAAGCTGCTCAGCTCAGGCGAACCTCCTCGACATGGTACACCAAGGCACTTTTGGAGGCTGCAGAGACTGCCATGGAGTGCTTCCACTGTGCGGAGTTCCAAGTGCCTCTCATGAAGAAGTGGCACTGGCTTCTGCACATGCCAGATTTCCTCCAAAAGCATGGGACGTTGCCATCGACATTTACCACAGAAAGGAAACAAAAAAACATTTCAGCCTATGCAACCAGATTACAGAAAACCGGTGCCTTTGAACGTAATCTGATGGACCAAGTCGTGGCCATGGAGATCACCACTCTGAGGGAACCAGGTCTGTTTCCCGAATCTTGCCACTTGGTGAAGCCCCACAAACCCACGAAAAAACAGCTGCAGCTCCTCCGCCACTTCCTGGATGGCCCAGCAAATGAAGCCATGGTTGCTTCCAGTGCCAAGCTCGCCAGGGGTGGCACCATTCACTGCAGCGACGTGGTGGTCTTCCACCACGAGGACGGACTTTGGGAACTGGGCCAAGTCTGGTTCCATCTGGACTTGGGACTGCAGAAGGTTGCACTGCTTCAACGTTGGATTCCCACAGTGGACAAAGATTCGCATTCTGCCAAGTGCTCCATCAGCAATGACCAAGGTTTCGTTCCCATCGAGTCCATCCAGTACCCACTGGTGTATAGCAAGGTCTCAGACCAAGAGGCCACCGTGCTGATCCCGTACCAGCTATACAGCAGGCGCTGAAAACATGCTTCATCTGCCCATGCATGATTCTGGTTCCAACATGTGTGCCGCCGTCCTTGGCCAGCCACTGCATGGAATGAATATGTTCTATATATTAAAACTGTCTTATACCTTCACTGCGATATGTTCTTAAAAAGGGATCTAAACTCTGAGAAAAATGACGTCAGCTGCATAAGAATGCCTACATGGCTAGCTCTTATAGAGGTTTTTCTTATACATTTCACCGCTTCTGAGCGATATGTTTAGATGGAGTATATACTGCGAAAACCCACAAGAAAAGCATAGTTAACCATAGTTAGCGAACTCCGAATAACTAGGTATAAAAAAATAGCTAACTCCACTTAGCCAAGATAACTAGTTATAACACAGCGAGGATTCCAAGTAAGAGAGGCCCCAACCCTACCTATAGTCTCCATTATAGTTCCTTTTTTGGTTAACCAAACTTATATTAAAGGATCCTAACCATAAAATTGGTTAACCAAAAAGAGAAACTACAATGGAGACTATAGGTATGAATGACGCTTTGCTTTTTTGTTTCGCGGATTTCCCCAGGAGAGCTCCACCAGGAACTCGCCACGGCACGGTGCTGGAGGTGCTGTCTAGTCTAACCTACTTAAAGGACCATGCGACTTAGTAAGTAGGGTTATAAGTAGGGTAACTATACTTGTAACCCCAATTAAGGGACCTATAACCTTACTTACTAAGTCCCATGATCCTCCAAGTACACTTACTTGGGGGTTCCGCAACTCTTTACCTTGCCATATAGATACCCTGCTTAAACAGGGTATCTGTATGATGACAAAGTTAAACCGGTCGCGCATTTCAGATGAACCCTCTTCCGGAACAGCTTTTACATCTCGCCCGGACAATGGCAGGCCATCCTTTGTGTAGCTTCAGGGCTTTAGGATAGAGGGCATGTCCAATCTTCAACCCTTGAAAAGGTGGTGGAGATCTTACTGCTCTCCAGCGTGCTAGACAGCAATGTGCCGATGTGTGTGCCTGGCGCTAAGAGGAGCTTCGCCTGCGGGCGGAGAACATGATCTCGCAGCATGCTTGGGCTTCGGATTGTGCAGATTGCGACTCATTTGTGGCTTTTGTGTTTTCGCTAAATTCCTGGACTCCCGGGTCTCCTCTTCCTCGAAGGTCTTGCCTCATCCGTGTCTGTGCTGCGTCCTGGCGGGATGGTATGTGACCCTAAACCCGAAAAAACAAACCAATATACAGCTCGCTGACGGTGCCAAGTGGGAACCAAAAAATACTGTGGCCTAATCCGCACCGTATGGGAACTCCTCTAAGGCCGTACCAAGGAATGCAAAGTAACGTGCTCATGTCTCAGGACCCCAGTCTTATTGGAGCCCCGTTGCCTGACACGCAATAGCTTGTGTCAAACGCCTAACCTCTTACATATAAACTTAGATATACATAATATGTACATTTTGATCTGTATATTATATATATATATGTGTGT